CCCATAGAATCAAGAAAGAGCTATCATTCTGTCAATCCTTAACCACGAATCCTTGAAGGAACCAGACAAGACTGTTTGGGTGTGGAGTTGAGACGACTGCTTCAAACGATGAGCCATAGAGACATCACCAGGAAGATGACGCAAGTGGTGGCGATGCTAGAGCTGCTAAGGAGAAACACCGAACACGTGCTTTTGTTCCGAAATTATGCCTGTGAACCTGCAGGGCAACATAAAGTCAGTAGTGACCACAGCGATGGTTCAAACACCCGGAACGATAAGAATCAGTGAAACTATGACTCATCACAGTCACCGCCATCGCAACAACCAGCGGTACTTTCGGGGTTCCTTTATGTAGGTATAGTATACTATACCCCAAAAGCCTGTTCTAATTATCTAGGCCCCTAGACCCTAAACCTTATTGAACATATTATGAAAACCTCTATATTATACTGTAGCCAACGGTGTCCTGCATCCAGTTCACCGAGAAGAGGTCGCCCAAGCCTCAAAAAGCCCAGTTCGTCTGTAGGGCTGGGTTACGGGGGCAGGGTTTAGGCAAAATTGGCTTCGACGGCTTTAGAATGCTGACACCCTTAAGTGCTTAAGCACCCTCTAACGTGGGAGAGCGCAAACGTATGGCTGCAACTGTTGCGCTGTGCAAACGCGAAACAAGAGCCCACGTTCTTGCCCTTCACGATGGCTGCATCACCTTGGAAGAGGCTTGCACGCATAACTTAGGATCTCGGGCCCAACCTAACTTTTCATGGACGTATATGAAGAAATCATGGTCAGGAACGCTAAACGGGAATGTTATTTGGGTTCAGGGGTTAGGGTTTAGTCACATGCCACAGGCCCCGGTTTCTACAAGCCCACAGTCCTTGCCGCCTGTTCGCGTCACCACTCACTCACTCACTCACTCGCTCACTCACTCTGAGGCGTCCAGACTGTTCATGTCTTGCAGGGACACAGTAGAGAGACAACGCTTACGTCACCACAGAAAGGAAGTAATATAATACAGAATCTGCAAAGTGGCACAACGCCAACTACTGTCCTAGCAGTTCGGATTACGCTTGGGGTTTTAGACCCTCTCAATAAGGTTCGTTCTAAGAGAGCCATAAGTAGGGTTCAGGAAAATTCCCTTTAAGGGGTCTCCCTTATACTACCTAGGATGTCCTGCTGTAAGGAAGGAACCTATCTGGACTTCCCTGTTTGTTTGGAGGAGGCTAACCTCGCGGCCAACATGCCTCCCAAACGCCGGACATTGAAGCCAAGCTGCCGCAGTAAGTGCCCCACGAAGACTCCTGAGGCCAAAAACATACGGATTTTTGCCCTTGACGCACAGTCCCACATTCTGCATGCTGAGCGGTTCTTCACGTCCAAGATTCACTACTTCGGGATCCCGAAGGGGAATGGATAACCCCAGCGGCGCTTGCAATGCAGTTGGAGGTTCTCGGTAGAGAGCAGAGAGCCCAATACCCTCTAACGAATCATTGTCACTATTTTCAGCCCCCTAAAATGCATAAGGCATCTTCCGTAATTAAGGCATTTTGGGCTCTCTGGGAACCTGGTAAACCAACCGAGGGGCATCGGCGTTTGAAGCAGTCACCGCCAAAATCTTGGAGTCCTGCCGGCTGCAGCGGTGGCATAAACTGATGAAGCCCTCAATGCTGAAGCATAGAAAAACTTAAGATGTCATGTTGCTAAGACCTGAAATTCCGAATCATGACGGCTAGTTATATCCGAAATCCTCGCATGTCGCTCTTCATGGACTGCCATTCCAAAATCCGACATCATGGGCAAAGCCCTTTGTCTTGAAGGCTCCACTGGAATTGGTCTTCGGAAGGTAGACGGGTGTTGAGCAATGTAGGCACGAGTTACATATGCATGCATATACACAAACATACTATACAATAATGATCCTGCGGCTGCTGTAAACTCATGTGGTGTAACACAATGCAATGACCACGAAGTCGCGCGGCCCTCATCGCAATCCGCAGAAAGAAAGAGATGGGTGGACACTGCACTTCAAAAAGCTCAGAATTCGTAGATTTGTTCCTCGATAGCCCAAACATCTTTCGTAAACTTGAATGCTGTCAAGAGCTTCAGTGGGGCTGAGGCTTCGGTTTCGACGATCAAGCCCTTGTGTGGTGTCACCCACATGTGACACCCTTAACACTGTAGCCGAAACCCGAGGGAAGTCATGATTTCGCATATAACAACGTGGTACCGAACCCTTCAGCCCTTTGGGCTCGTGAAGCCCTCTGAGTACGTGTGTGTGTATATATATATATATATATATAGATGTACAGGGCTTATGTACTGTTTGACTTGTATATAAAAAGGATTATCTACATGGTTTGCCAAATAACCTTAGTCCCCAATGAAAGGCCTTCTCGAGGTCTGGGAACATGGAGCCACTTTCGCACGCTTCCTTGGATTTTCACAGCTGCGGGACTACTTGGAGGAACAGAAAACTTGATGGGTCAGCTAATCAAGAACTCGAGCAGAAAACGTGCACACTGACAGTCAAAGAGCCATATAGAAGACCATCTCCTTGAACATGTGCTTGCTCTGCATTGTCTTCAGTGTCTTGGAGAGCTCCTCGGAGGTCAACGGGTGGACGATTAATGGCTGGTGGTTGAGAGGCATGCACAAATACTCGCGTGTATCAGTGCCCGACCTGGTCCATGAAACCGCGTACGTATGTGCAGCACTGCATCTCTATACATTACTGATTCCAAAGAGCACTCGCGCGTTTGTAAATCGATTTTTCGTTGCTAAGAGCGGTCAGGGTCAGCCTGCCACATGTAGCAAGGTAGCTCCTTGAAGGGTCGGGGCCCTCGTAACTTAAAGGATTACCGGTATCAGAAGACCATCTCGGACCCGTTTTTAAGGTTTGATTACCTACTTAACACCCCGAGAACCTCGAAGTAGGCGAGCGACTTGTCAGGCGTACATTGAAATTGAACTCAGCTGCTGCAGCACCCCTTCTTGGGATCAAGGTGCGTGGCCAGTCTACAGACGCCAACTCTAAATCAGCTCCAAACAACAATCCGCAAGGCCGCACCCCCAAAACCCTCAAACGTCACGTTTACGATGTTGTCGCCCCCCGCCCATCCTGGAACCAGCTTCTAATTTCCCGAAACCTCCAAACCTTACTCCGTGAAACTCTACCCTACCAGTCCGAGCAAAAAGCCATCTTCGCCTAGAGGACGGGGCTTAGACTCTTAGATCCAGATCAACATTAGCTTGAAGCCCTAAAGTGCACGCGGCTCTGCAAGATGAAAACCTGACTAAACTAGCCCTAAATCCAAACCGAGGGCCCCTAGAAGCGAAGCCCTGAAAGGAAACCACAAATCACCCCGTCGTCGCCTTCACAGTCAGCACAGGGCCGTTGGGGAAGGCAATGATGCCAGGGCCTGAGGATCCAAACCCTAAACCCTAAACCCTAAAACCCTAAACCCTAAACCCTAAACCGCGGCTTAAGGCTCAAGGTTGCCTTGCAAGGGATACGGGTTTAGAGTAGGAGTATGTAGGGTTTAGGGGGCTTATAGGGCCTAGGTAGGTGTAGGTCCGCGTTTTTTCAAGATCTTGAATGGCTTTGGGTTTAGAGCAGAATGCAGAAGATGTCCACGGCGAAGGGCTCCTCAATTCACCAGGCGCCTAGATCCCTACCCAGGACGACTCTCGAAGCTTTAAGGGTTTAGGGTCTAGGGTCTTCTGAATCCCACAAGAAACCCAAGAAGAAAGCCACTGAGCCCGAAAACCTTGAACTTGAACGCTAATCCTGAACCGTAGACACAACACCTTACAACCCCAAACCTTTCACCCCCAAAGAAACACAAAATCCCTATCCAAAACTCATCCAAACCCGACACCCCGAACCGAAATTCCCAAACCGTAACGCCTGAAACCCTACACCAGAACCCCTACATCCTGTAAGATTCTTACTGTACCCAAAGCATCCACGACTGTGTTCATTAACATCTGCTGCAGGAACTGCCCAACTAGCTGGATGCCTCCGTGGTCCACGAAATTGACGAAGACCATGTCGCTTGCACCGCTCTTCAGTACCTTCAACAGCCAGGTGTCATACATACATATAAATAGACACATATATATATATATATGTATATGTATATATATATATATATAGATATGCCTCTATGTATATATATTATACACATATTGGCACGAACGTGCATACAGGTAGTTCTTGAAGTTGAAGATCACAGGGCTACAGAAATGTTAGGTTTAGCCACGACAGGCCCAACGACATTCAAACTTATACCCCTAACCCTCGTCTTGCCTTGCCCTTGGCGCCCTCAGTGTTGCCCGTAAGGACGTCCATGAACAGCTGGCCGGTCACAATCTGAGAGGGCGCCAGCATTTCTAGAGTTTTCAGGCTTGCGACATTTGTTTCTGCTTTTCGAATATGGATCTAGGATTTGGCTGCATCTGGGTTTGCAGGGAATGTAGAGTCTCTGTTGCATGCGACGACGCTGGGCTCTGAAAGAGTGTAGGCCAGTGCTTGCAGAATCAGGGGACTTGACCCTAAACCCTAAAAGCCCTCAGCCACAAACACTGAAACCCAATTTCAAATCCACAGACCCCCAATCACTGCCGTCTGGCGAACTGCCGAGGTGCATCCCCAGAGTAGTCCACCTTGCAGCCTTTGTAGACCTCCATCGGCTGAGATGTGATAGGGCTTTCGGGTTTAGGGCTTTGGGTTTTAGGGCCGAGGGTTTTCAGGGATTTAGCTTGGAGTGCCAGGGCTGGGATTCAGTGTTTTCGGGGATTTAGCTTTGTATTTTGCCAGTATTTTGACACCGTGTGCTTGGTCAGAATGCGCGCAAGGGGAACCCCAAATCTTGATCCCAAAAGACTCCAACGATCAGTCTAAGTAAGGCTTTAAGGACCCATTTAAAGAGTCTTGAATGCTCTTATACTTCTACGGAACAAGGTGTCTGGAAGTCTGGCTTTGTATTTTGGGATCTGGTATCGCATTGTTTGTCCATATTTGCTTAAATTGGTCTGCGGCATTATTTTCAACCTCCAAACGTTTGCAAACGCAAAACAAAATCTTTGCCCAGTTGTCATAAGTAAACTTGTCTCAACTTTGGAGAGACTCAAATTTACAAAAACCAAACTACTACAGTCTCTGTGCTTTTCTGAGTTTCACTTGCATTTCTGCTTAAAGTGTTTTCTCGTTTTTGCTGATTCATCCACATTGCCTGCAACATATTTCAGGGACTCGAGTCGATGTGTCAACCTGGTCTGCAGCAGGGATCTTAAGTTCATGTTTGCCACGCAACCCGAAAGCACAATACCGGTACTGCAGCTACCTGGTTCATGTAGCATGCCTCCAAGCCTCCTACGGCTTGCAAGCCATAACAAGTACCAGCAGCATGCCACCAGCCCCGCAACCTTGCACAACCACGTAAGTCATGACCGCTTGACCGTATACGGAGTGTGACCCGTTAAACAACAGGTAACTGGATTCAACAGGGAACATCGTTGCTTCAAGGTTGGGCCATGGGCCTTAACCCTTTCACCCCCACTGATCGACTCCTCCATGATGTGGGTAGTTCTCTAAATCAGGGTCCCTCTTAGGTATACATGGGGTGCCATACCATGTTTGGGATCTACGAGCCTACGTAAAGCACTGGTTTCAGGAAGTGTAGTTGCTTGTCTTGCCATGCAAGGAGGGAAAAAGAAAAAGCTAACCTTTTCGGGCCGTTGTGTTCCAAAGCCCCAAACCCTCCCCAGCATCCCACGCCCACGAAACCCCATGAATCGGAATCCCCAACGCCTAAACCCTAAATCCCCCAAAACCCATGAATCCGAATCCCGAACCCCTAAACCCTAAATCCCCCAAAGCCCATGAATCGGAATCCCTAACCCCTAAACCCTAAATCCCCCCAAAACCCAAGAGTGACCAAGGCACGTCGGGCGAGTCATCGCCAGGCTTGTTGAAGAGCTGGCCCGGGAAGGGGTTCTCCGAGCTGTTCGCCACATCGTCCTTCGGTAGGGTGGGGGAGGCACTCGGGGGTTAGGGTTTTGGGGTTTAGGGCTTAGGCTTAGGGTTTGGAGTTAAAACGCTGAGCACTTCGAGAATTAAAAGACATGGTCGGTAGGTTCATGGACCGGGGATGACGAGCTGGGTATCCTGCCTACAAATCTATTTATACCCGCCTCACAACAGCTCGCCGCGTAAGGCGTACGATTGCTAGTGTGGACAACGATGCACGTAATGAGTCAAGAACCGTAAAACTTCCTGCTTGTTCTCTGCTTTTTCTCTGAAATCTGGAAATTATAGCAGCACAAGACAAGTTATGTTCATGAACCCCAAATTCTATTATGCTTAGGTTTCTTGTATAAGCTGTGAATGCCATAACAGTGATGTGAGGGCCTGCATCATGAGGATGATGTTGTCTGCCGGCACGCCGCTCTTCAGCATAAGGTGGTAGGCATGGCACGCATCTGCCTGATGGCGGTAGTTCATGAAGCCTGGCAAGAGTGAAACATTGGAAACATGCTGCTCTGGTGGGTGTCTATATGGGGTTCAGTTTGGAGCTCTTGCCTGCCGTTTTGGAACAGGCCCTTCATGTTGCATGTCCGACATTGAAGTTGCGGATATGCTCGGTATACTCGGTTTGGCTGTGGTTCGAGGCTTCTTCGGAGCATGGGACAAATGGGCTTAGTAAGTGGGGTTTAGCGGCAGCATCCATGGCTCACGTACACGCAGCACAGAAAGGAACTGAATCGGAGATGGTTTTTGTGCAACCTAGCCCCAAAACCCAAAGCTCAAATCTCTTGGAGAACCAGGCTGTGGATGGGCCGATGGTCTATTCCGACTGCAAGGTTGAAGCCTTATGGTTGTAATGGTTAGGGTTTAGGGTTTAGGGTTTAGGGTTTAGGGCTTAGGGTTTAGGGTTTAGGGTTCAGGGTTTAAGTTTAGGGTGGTCCCGGAGTTCCAGGGCTCCATGCCAGTAGATGTATACTGATACTCGGACACTGTGTGCAATCGTACATGTCACATGTGCCTGAACACGCGCTGATACATACATACGTACATACATACATACATGCATGCATGCATGCATGCATGCATGCATGCATGCATAATAATTACGTTACATAATGACCGACATATGTGCACACATGCGTACCTCTTCATCAAAGCATGGGCATCTCTGTATACATATTGAATATGCTATTTATTCGCACCCACCGCTTGGAGAGTCGGAACAGGCGCGTTGCGGGTGATGATGATATGACCGTACCAAGTTGTCCAATCTGATTAGTCATGTTGTTGGTGGTCCACGTGAACACTGGCTTTTGGAATTCGAATGAAGATCTTGGACTAACATGAAGCAAATAATAAACGAGTAAATTCAAGACATCATCCCGCACACATATTGCCGCCAGCTACAAAGCCTCGAGTGTTGGGTATCCCGGGACATGCGATTGGAATTCGACGCCATCTGCTTGTTGCTGAAGCGTGATGATTTCGCTCGGAACTTGCCACATGCGAACTCCAAGAATACCGAGGATGAGCCCACACCCAGAAGGACGCGGCACTGGAAAACATGTGGCTTGTTAACTTGTTCAACAGCAGACGTTGCAACTCAATGCCTAAGACATGCCTTACCCGCAGCAGTGGGTCCCAACTCTCGCCTGCCGAGCCCGCTGCGATGACAGCATATTTCTCCTCGGAGAGGGTTTTGTTCTGTCAGTTTGCCAAGTGCCTAAGGTCGTCCAATGCTCGAGGAAGATCGATCCCAGCAAAGCCCAGCAGGTACTGGCCTGCATAGATGTCAAGTTGCAGTACCTCTGGTCCACAATCTTTGCAGTTCTTCTCAGTCCGATTCGCACCCTGCTGAACAACCCACCTAATGCCCCACAACGGGCAACAGCAAAAACCCTGCCAACCCAAACTTCATCCCTGAACCGCTCAAGCCTAAAATCCTATCCTACTATGAACCAAACCCCCTAAACCCATCAAGCCCCAAACCCATCTAAATAAGCCTTTATACTTACAGTCTCATAAACCCGATAAAGCCCCAAAACCGGCACAGTGTCGGCCGCTGCCAATGGCAAGAAGGCCGCCAGTGCTGCTCGAAACGCCATGGTCGATGGAACTCCTCGGCTGCTCGGCGGAGAGGGTTTTTGACTCGCGCTTTTAGTAGGGGCTTCCATAAGGGCTGGGGTTGAGGGTTTAGGGTTGAGGGTTCAGGGTTTAAGGTTTAGGGTCTAGGGTAAGGGCTGGGGTGGATACGTTCAAGGTGATCAACCTTCCAAAATAAAGACACGCATACACAGCAACTGCCAACACAAGGCTCTCATGAGAAAATCTCCGCATGGGCCGCTGAATGACTACGACTCCCCCCGAAGGCACATAAATGTAACAGAACATGATACATATGTATGTGTATATATATNNTATATATATATATGTATGTATTTTTACACTATCTAAATGTCTAACTACATAACAATGAAGGCTCCAACTCCAACATAGTTCGTTTGCAGTCCGAGACTCGGAGAGTGTTGCCGCGACCAATCGATGCTTGGGCCAAACTAAACACTATGCAATAGATGACGCTCTGCACAATTCACGACAACATCAAACACAATCCATGGCCGTCATGCAACTAAACTGGAGCATGTGCGTGCCGATTCAACTCTTGGCGCCGATGTGCCACGCTCTGCCTCGTCTTGCGACGCATTTTTCGACCGCCCCCCCCCCCCCCCCCCNNCCCCCCCCCCCCCCACCCTCCTCCCCGTTCATGTCGAGCTCCGACGACGGATGCGCAAGACCAGCGAGCATCAGGCCTCGTGTCGGATACCTCAAGGCCACAGAAAGGAATTGCTTCAACCATGTCGCAAGCACCCTCGCCAAAAAACGTTTCATTCGGCATGCGCAGTTCCAATCCCCACAATCTGCCGACGCTATCCTCTTCGAGGAAGGCCCAACAAAGAAAGCTTACGCGTGAAACAGCTCCAAAACGAAGATGAGCTCGATGTCCTGAAAATAAAGCTTCAATGGGCCCTGGTCGTCGTATGCATGCGCTGCACTGCACTGCCAGTCTCCTGGTGTGCTGGAAACTCCAAAACCATGAAATTGCACGTCTTGTCGCACCCTGGAAGGCTTGCGACAGTTCGTCTTTCGAGTTGCCGTCCGTATCAGAATAACTCGTGACTTTCGTGATGCGCCATCTTCTCCACCAAGTTTCGAGTCCATCTCGTTCTCATGGAACCTTCGCGCTGAATGTCGCCACTGCCACCAAACACGCAACCGTCACCAACCAGGGTCAAGACCGACTGGACGAAGCCACAGAGATCTATTGCGTCTGCCTTATTTCCACATTGCCCCCAGTAATTAGAAGGTTGATTCGGAATGAATGGTGAAGAGTACTACGACTACGAAGATTTTGCCCGGCTAGAATCGTTCAAAAGCCCAGTTTCGTTTCATTGGGGTTGGATGACCGCGCTCCAGATGCCCGGCTTTGGATGGACTCGCGCTTGTCGGGCTTCTGCAGGAACCTCAGAATCGCAAACTATACGCCCCCGAGAAAACCGATTGGGGGAGGTGTTCCTTTTAGGGCTTAGGGTTTAG